GTGCGATTGGCACAGGACAGAGCGGAGGTTAGGGCTGTTGTACATAGGGTCGCTATGAGTCGCAGGCGACTCGACGGCACATAACAACAACAACAAGTCACACCTGGTCCTGCCAGACCAAGTCTCTCCTCTCTCCTCTTTGGGAAGTTGCAGGCATTGAGAGTCTTGTTCTCATCCTTTCTCCCTAACCAGTCTTTCTCAAATTGTAAAACGTTTAGGTTTATTTTCCAAAGACCTGAAAACCTATATTGAAGAGTTTAGGTACCTCACCCAAACCTATGATCTCACCTTGCATGACCTTTTTGTTCTACTGTACTCTAATGCCAGATGAAAGAGAGCATGTCCTCACTGCTGCTCAGCATCATAAAGACCAAGCACATTGAACAGCCCTCAAGCTGTCCCCTAGCAAAACCCAAATGGACATACCAAATTAATACAGCAGCAGAAAGAGATGGTTTAGCCAGGTATGACCATATGATTCAGTGTCTGTTCATAGGCACACATGTCATCTCCCATAAATCAGTCAATTTTGATAAGCTCAGGGATATTATTCAAGGTAGAGATGAGAACACAGCCAATTTCCTTAACTGCCTCACTGAGGCCCTAATCCAGTACACCTGCTTAGACCCTACCTCCCCAGCAGGAGCCACCATCCTAGCTACTCATTTTATTACCCAATCAGCCCCTGACATAAAAAAGAAACTCAAGAAGGCTGAAGGTGGCCCCCAAACACCCATTTTAGACCTGGTAAACATGGCCTTCAATGCCTGAGAGGAAAAGACAGAGGCTGATAGGGAGACTCGTGCCCAACAGAAGGCAAATCTGCAAGCCCAAGCCCTTGATAGCTACCTTGCAGCCAGCACTGATGAGGCATCAGAAAACATCTCCTCATTCAAAGAGCTGGTTACCTCCTAGTGCAGCCTTCAAGTGTGGCAAAGAGGGTCATTGGGTTAACCACTGCTCTAACCCTGGCCCTCTGACATGGCCTTGCCCTATCTGTGAGGCACTGGGCCATTGGAAGGCCAACTGCCATTCCAAACCTAGCCATGGTACGGTAGCCCCTCCACCAAATCCAGTCCCCATCATAGCTGACGACTTAGGATTGAAGTGCCACTGAAGATTGAAGATGCCCAGGCTCAACAACAACTATCATCTTTGCTAAGCACTGGGTCACCCTTCTGATAGCGGGTAAGCCCGTTTCCTTTCTGGTTGACATGGGCTACCTCTTCAGTGCTCCCTTCCTTCTGAGATCCTGTTTTCCCTTCCCATTTCTCAGTAATGGTTATTTATGGTCTCCCTTCTAAGCCTTTTACCACTCAACCCATCCTCATTACCTTCATCAAACAAGTACTCACTCATTCCTTTCTAATCATCCCTACATGCCCAATTCAATTTCTAGGTAGAGACCTCCCATCTAAACTTGGAGCTGTGCTTCACTGGGAGTTAAGCAAACCTAGTTCATTTGGCCAGCCTTTAGTTCTATCCCTCTTAGTTTTTCTTCCATCTGAATCCCTTTCTACACTACCTCTATCACCAGACTTCATCAAACCTGTTGTATGGGATCTTTCCACTCCATCTAGCTGCTCACCACCAACCTGTTCTTGTTACTCTGAAAGACTCCTCTTTTCCTACTAGACTCCAATTCCCTATCTCTGCACCACACCGCAGAAGTTTAAAACCCATTATTACTCACCTACTTTCCAATAATCTTCTTATCCCCACAAACTTTCTATATTATATAGCAATCCTACATGTTAAAAGAGTCAAAGGATTTTACTGCCTAGTCCAAGGTTTGCAATTGATTAATGAAGCCACTGTATGCTGTTACTATATACATGAATTAGGAATAGTAGAAGAAAATGTCTCAAAATTGACAAAATTAGCTGAAGAATTAAAAACATACAAAAAAACACAAGCCTTCTCCCCATTTGACTTAAGAACCCATTTCTAACTTGGATTCTTCCTTTTCTAGAACCAATAATATTCATAAGCATATTGTTACTAATCACTCACTGCCTTTTAAAATTCTTACTTCATGAAAGATAAAAGAATAAAAGAGAAAAGAAATGTCCAACTTAATGGTGAACCAGCTGCTATTACATCCATATTCTCTCCTAGCTACTGATCCTGAGCCAACAGAATTCAGTCTCTGAGAGCCAGATCTTCACCCCTGTTCAGCAGTAAGTAGCTAGAATAAAGATACATGGCCCTTTTTTTCCACTAAAGAGGCTGAAATATTAGGTCCAGACTAAGGTGAAGGGGGAGAAAAGAATCGAAAGAATACAACACGTCAACAAAAGAAGTGAACTGCCTTACCATAAGCCACAGTGGAATGCCCCTTCCTTCCTTCCCTGAAGACCCTGCAATAATAACCCTCCCAAAGATGCCCTAAATGTGACTTCCTTGTTGTCCATTTTGAGACCAAGGATCCTTGCCAGGGAGCTTCTTTAGTAAAGCTGCTTTAAGCTTTCTTTCTTGCTTTCTGTTCCCTTCCTTGAGTCCTTGGCCTTGCATCCAATAAAAAGACCTAACTCCTACATAGATACTAGAGAGCACATTTTTTGGGAAGTATATTCATTGTGCAGGAATATCAGCCAATATGCCTGAAAGGCACAGGAGAGAGTTATCACAGGAAGATTAATTACAAGACTTAACACAGCTTTATTTTGTAATATTGACATTATATAACTGAATATAACTGACCCATATTTACCCTTGAGCAGATTTTCAGAGACAGTCAAGTACACAGGAAGAGATTGTCTGTCTTTATCCTGCAGAGCAGTTGGTGAAATAGAACTGAATGCTTTTAAATGATATAAATGTCTAAATATTATTTTTAAAAGTTCAAGAGAAGATATTAAAATATAGGTAAAGATAACATAAAATATACTATTTTATATGTTACTATTGTTATTATGTGCTGTCGAGTCTTTTGAGGCTCATAGCGACCCTATGTACAACAACCCTAAACCCTTCTCTATCCTGTGCCAATCGCATGGCTTCTGACACACCCATCTCGATTACCCCAGTCACTGAATCAATCCACCTCATAGAGGGTCTCTTCCCCTCCTGCGCTGTCCCTCCACCCTCCCAAGCATGATGTCCCTCTCCAAGGACCTGTCTCTTCTTACAACATGTCCAAAGTATGTAAGACAAAGCCCCGGAATCCTTGCCTCCAAGGAGTAGCCTGGTTTAATCCCCTCTAGGATGAATCTGTTTGCTATCTTGGCCGCCCAGGGTACATTCAATACTTTTCTCCAGCACCACAGCTCAAAGGCATCAATTCTCCTATCTTCCCTAGTCATTGTCCAACTTTCCGATTTATAACAAGTGATTCAAAGATGATGGCCTGTATCAGG